AGCAGCAGCAGCAGCAACAGCAGCAACAGCAACAGAAACGTCAACTCGCCGCCCCCTTGGCCACCAACCCATTGCAGATTGCTGCTTGCTCAACCCCAAGCCCTAAACCGTAAGCCCTGGGCCAGAAACCCTGAACCCTTAACCCTGAACCATTAACCCTAAACCCTAAACCCTAAACCCTAAACCCTCGGCCCTACACTCCTTCGATTAGAACCTACAGCATAAACCCCAGGCACGGGCAGCTGCAGAAAGACCTTGACTTCAAGCCCCAAACTCCAAACACCAAGCACTAAACCCTAAGCCCTAAACCCTAAACCCTAAACCCTAAACCCTAGCACCTTTCCGCGGGAGTCGCCAGGTGGTCTGCGTAAACCCGAAGCAAAAAAACCGCCCCAGGGGTCAAATCGCAAAGACACTGGGCGCCCCGGCGGTCCAGCAGCCGCCGAATTCCTGCTGCTGCGCCTGCAGCAGCAGCAGCAGCACGAGTAGCAGGCAGCAGCAGCATATTTTTTGGAGGAGATTTGACTTGCAGGCTCGAGGATTCAGGTGGAAAATGCGTCTTACAGCAGCAGTAGCAGCAGCAGCAGCAGCAACACCAGCAGCGACAAAAGCAGCAACAGCAGCAGCAGCAGCAACAGCAGCAGCAGCAGCAGCAGCAGTACCCTCGTTTGGGTAAGCGAGGAGGAGCTCCTTGACTGCCAACTCGATGGCCCCCTCTGTTGCAGGAAGGCATTCGCCCAAGTCCTCAATAAAGGCCACGAGGCCTCCGCATGCAGCAGTAAATTGCTGCTGCTCAAGCTGCTGCTGCTGCGTTGTTTCTTCGTTCTAGGGTTTAGGGTTTAGGGTTTAGGGTTTGGGGTTTAGGGTTTGGTGCTTGCACTGTGTGCAGCTGGACTTGCGGCCCTGGCGGAACCGTCTCTCGCGCCCACAGCCCCCCAATGCAAACTAGCTAGCTAGCTAGCTAGCTCGCTAGCTAGTTAGCTACTTAGCTAGCTAGCTAACTGGCTAGCTCGCTAGCAAACTGGCTAGCTAGCTAGCTAACTGGCTAGCTCGCTAGCTAACTGGCTAGCTGACTAGCTGGCTTTTTAGCTAGCTAGCTGGCTAGCCAGCCAGGTAGCTAGCTAGCTGTGGCTAAACAGGTGGTAGCTGGCTAGCCAGCTAGCCAGCTGGACTGGCAGCTAGCTTGCGAGCCAGCCAGCTAGCTGTTTGGCTAGCCAGGCTAGCTGCTGACTAGTTGCGTACGAGTGCAGCAGCAGCAGCAGCAGCAGCAGCAGCTTGTGGTGCAGCAGCAGCTGCGGCTGCTGCTGCTGCTGCATCTCACTAGGAAGGCTTTAAGCAACGATGGCCTTAAACCGCAGTCGCGGTGTTTATACCCTTGCATCAGGGTTTAGGGTTTAGGGTTTAGGGTTTGGCGTGAGGCAGCAAAAGTGGCGGCGGGCGGAATGCAGCAAAGGAGAAGCAAGAAGAACAATTAAGAAGGGCTGAAGGGGGCACAAGGGCTCTAAACCCTAAACCCTAAACCCTGCACAAAAGGAAAACGCTGCAAGAAAGCAAGCCAGGCTTTTTGAGCACGTCCAAGGCGGTTTAGGGTTTAGGGTTTAGGGTTTAGGTCAGAAGCATTTCTCCAAACTTTCTTTTCCAAACCCTCGCCTGGCGAGCCGGTGCTTCTGGGGTTTGGGCCGCTGAAACCGGAACCCCAAACCCTAAACCCTAAACCGCCGGCCCTCGCCTCAAAAGTGGCCCAAGCCCGCAGCAGCTAGCCATGGGCAAGAGTGGCTGGCTAGTTGCAGCTAGCTGCCCATGGCTAGGAACAGCTAGCTGTGGCTAGCTAGCTGTGGCTAGCTAGCTGCGGCTAGCTAGCTGTGGCTAGCTAGCAATGTTAGCTTCGGCTAGCTAGCTGCGGCTAGCTAGCTGTGGGAAACTTGCTACGGCCAAGTAGTGGCTAGCTAGCCATGGTTAGCCACGTGTGGCTAGCTAGCTGTGGCTAGCCAGTTGTGGCTAGCTGGCTGTGGCTGGCTAGCTGATAGCCAGTTGTCGCTATCGAACTGTGGCTGGCCAGTTACGGCTAGCTAGCCGTGGCTAGCTAGCTGTGGCTAGCCAGTTATGGCTAGCTTGCTGTGGCTAGCCGGTTATGGCTAGCTAGCCGTGGCTAGCTAGCTGTGGCTAGCCACGTATGTCTAGCCAGTTATGTCTAGCTAGCGGCGTCTAGCCAGTTATGTCTAGCTAGCTGTGTCTAGCCAGTTGTGGCTAGCTAGCTGCGGCTAGCTAGCTGTGGCTAGCTAGCTGTGGCTAGCTAGCTGTGGCTAGCTAGCTGCAGCTGCTGCGTGTGCGGGGTGGGTGGTGGCTGGGGGGTGTTGGGGGTGTTTGAGTTCTCGCCGGAATTTCGGGTTGGAGAGTAAAATGAGGAAAATAAAAGAATAAAAGAATAAAATAAATAAAAGCAAATAAAATTAAATTAAAATAAATGAAATAAATAAACAAAAAAGGAAAAAAAAGAGAAAAAAAGAGAGAAGTGAAGAAATGGGAGAGAGCCCGCTCAGCGGCAGACCCCCAGCAGGCCGAGGTGTACGTACACCCCAAACTTCGCTGCCAACTGAAAAACTTCTTTTCATAAAATGCTGCATGCAGAAAAGGGTTTGGGGCTGGAGAGGGTTTAGGGTTTAGGGTTTAGGGTTTAGGGTTTAGGGTTTAGGGTTTGCGGCGGCAAGTGCCTGGCTGCTCCTAGACAGCCCCCCAAAACCTCTCGTGTTTCTTTTTAAACAACTCTACGCAGCAGCAGCAGCAGCACCACCGCAGGGCCCCACTGCTGCCTGCAGCAGCAGCAGCAGCAGG